CGCTTGCAGTCAACGCCCCCCCACGGTCGCTCAACACCATAGACGCTGACGACTGTGCGGTGGCCCACGCTAATTTGGATGCAGCATATGGAGCGCGAATCCCCTTGCCTGTGTGCTGTCCCCCCCGCCCCCCCAGGCAGAGCGCGGTCCCACAGCATGTGCAGCTTGTGCGGTGATTGACGAAATGTCAGGCTGCAGTGGTGTCTGCGTCACAGACACGCGGTAAGCGATCCTCACCCTGGATGAAGCCGGAGACTCGCCGAATTAATCCCCCTCGTCATTCTCCATCATTTTGTCTTATTCTTGTCCAGAGAACCATACAGGAGCCAAACGCTTAGCAATACTCCAAAAGAAAGCAATTTTCCTAATACTTCACAAACTGGAAATGCATTTCAATCATATAACAATACATAAATACTTGTATCTCATCACCTAGCCTGCAGGAAATGTCCTCTTTAAGGTCTCACGTAGAGAGTAAAATGCAGATGTAAGGCGTAAGCAGACCCTGGCGCACACCGAATCTGCTACAATATCTAAGAGCAGAATTTGCGAGACGTCGTCTCCATCACAGGGTGATGTGTCTGTTTACAATCACCATGCAAATTTGAGCTGCTCATAATGGAATTAAAAAGCTATTTTAACATCGGCAAAATATTTTTATTCTTTTTATTCAACTACTAATAGTGCGAGAAAGTCACAATGGGGATGAATTTTATTTGCATCTACATGCAACCTTAGCAAAATAGCACGTCATTTAAAGGTGATTGCATCTTTACTCTGAATCATAAAAAGTGAGTTATTTTACAGCTGGGTGTAAGTGAATTCTGTTTTTTCTATGATATATTGATATTGAAGTGCTATATATTTATAAACTGGAGGCATTGTATACGTCACAAGTGGCTCTGTGGAAAGGTGGCCAAGCTTAGAAAAGCAATACATAAATGCAATACATAAAGTGTAGGCCTTGGCAATCCTCAAGGAAGCCATAAATTGTCATTAAGTATCACTGTGGTTTGTGTCCTTCATGTCATTAAGGATCACTGTGTCCTTCAGCTCCATTTTAATCACGTTGATTACAGGTTTTCCTCCATTATCCGAAACCCGCATCTGATTAAGCTGAAATAACAGCCTGTCGGCTTGTCAGAAGACTTGTTATCAGCTAAGCATGTGTGTGTGTGCTTGTGAATATGCTAGTCAGGCAACCATAAGTCATTTTTTGTCATTGGGAGAGTACTTTCCCAGAACTTAGGAAAAAAATTAAAATTTAAAAGAGATGACTTCCACTTTTTACTGGTTGCAAAGAAAGAGAGCAGTCTTTGAAGTACATTTACTTACAGTTTAAATTTACGCATAATGTTATTCATGCTAAAGCTCAAGATGTCTGATTCCACACTGAAAATTTCTTATCTGACATTTTTTCCTGCATTTTTAAAAAAAAAAATTTAGATTCAGATTTTCACACTAACTGATTAAGACTGAGAGTTAACATTAACTATAGCAGGGTTATTAAAATCACGGTCTTTGAGGTCCGAGCACTGCTGGTTTTTCAGCCTTCCTTTACCTGTCAGTCAGGTGTGAAGCCTCTGACCAATCAGAATCAGTAACTATTAAACTAACTACCTGGGAGAACTGAAAACAAGGCCTGGATTTGGAATCGAGGTCCAGATTTCAAGAACCCTGAACTATAGCGTTTGTTCCCCAGTGTGATGCTGCAACCTGGGTATGTTACAGCAGCTCTGGAAACCTCACAGCCTGACCCAAACTGGACTGAACTGCAGCGTGTGAGCAATGGAAGGGAAATCTAATTAACGGCAGATACTGAATTGGTGGAAGATGGATACCTTCTGAAGCTTGCTATATTTAATTCTCTGGCTGGGTACTTGAGTAACTGTGATGTGTAAAATCCACTCTGTCCGGTCGGAGCACTTCCACATAAATTGACTCTCGAGCGACTGAAGCTACTCGAAGCTCTCGGAACAGTTTATCTGCCAAATCCAATTGTGCAGCAGGTGGCATTGTGTCCAGAATGTAAACAGGTTCAAAACAAGCCCTGTTGCCTCTTTGCTGCGCTCCCCGATTCACCCAGCTTCCAGAGGGGGTGTTTGCCATGGAAACGGCAGACCAACTTTTCAGAGAGGAGCGCACAAGGGCAATCGGGCATGGGAAGGAAGAGGATAAACAAGGCCGAGCCCATTTTGAGCAACAGCTCCCCCTTTTAAAATATTCTGTCGGTGTTTCACAGGCACGTCATTGTTGATGATGTAGATTTTTCTTGTGTTACAATGTGATTGAATTTGATCTTTTTAAGTTCTCATAGGATTCCATCAATTTGTAGGGTTGAGCACAATTTCACTTCATACCAGCCAGGATGTTCTAGCTATTTTTAAAACACCGATCCTGGTGCAATGGAATGTGTACAGTCCCCTAAAAGGAGAGCTACAAGAGGCTTGAATGCTTCGAGCCAATGCAACATGCTATGATTCAAATATTTTCCCTTCATACTGACTTGTCAGCCATGCTATTTAAAGACCACTGTACATTTAATAACCTGCTGCTATTGTCATTGTGTAAGTTAAAATTGACAGAAAATTATACATTTGAACTGGTTTTTACAACATTAATTTTTAGTATAGTTGTCATTAAATGTGCTTTGAGGTATGACTTACTACTTGGTTTGTAGAAAAAAATGCAATAAAAAAGATTAGTATAATTGTTTAAAATAATTTCAGTTACATTAAAGAGATGGAGTTTACATGCTTTTTCTGTTACACAACTACTCCAGTATCTTGCTACAGTCCAAGGACGTCTAGTGTAGCTATTGGGTGCCTCTAAATTGCCTGTGTGATTGTGCGTTTGAGTATGCAAAGGTGTGCTTCCTACAGTATACTGGCGTCCTGTTCAGGCTGTAAGATGGATGGATGACATTAAAGAAAAAAAGAAGTATGAATATAAATAGCTGGTCTACAGGTGCAAACTTCATATTCAATATGTGACTGCCATCTGGTGGTGAGAGATGTAAACACAACTGAAAACACTGCAGGTTTAAGAAAAGCTGAGAATGAAAACATCCATTCGCCTTACAAGTTTTCCACTATAGGATCACAAGGAGCCTGGGCCTGGTCTGAGGGACACTACAAATGGGGACATTCTGGAACCTATATTTTGCCAAAAGTTTGCCAGTTCAGGTGTAACAGGTTGCTGTTGAATCCATAAATATACTGTATGCATTTTCCCTCAGTTGTGTTCCTGAAAATGCCAGTTTAAATCAGCCAAATCAGTCAAGTCAGTTTGGATCAAAGAATCAAGACTACACTATGGTAGTTGTAATCCTTTGATCCAGATTGTATTTAGTGTATGTATTGTTAGTATATAATTGTGTGTGTGTTGTGTATGTGTGTGTGTTGTGTGTGTGTGTGTGTGTGAGAGAGAGAGAGAGAGACAATAGTGCTATTTTTTTTTCTGTTGCATGACAGTTCGTGTTACATTTTGACTGGGTGATATGTCTGCTTCCAGTAATATTTTTAAATGTTCAGTGTTTCCGTGTCAACAATTGCAGGTTATTTTAAGCTTTTGTTTATCTAATCCTGACTGACTGCGGTGACGCAAGGCAGCTCCCGACGATCAAAGGCCTTTGGCATGTTCTGTTCCGCAAAGTGCACCAGCCACGAGAAACAAACTCGCATGCCACTGAGGAGAAATTGAGCAAGCTCAATTAATGCTCAACTAGCATGTAGCAGTATGGCCTTTTTGACGAGAGGGAGCACATGGTCTCTGAACAACCGAAATATTTAAAGTCAGTTTAACATTAAAAAAGGCATTTGAGTGACTTATGGGGTGAAATACAAATATTAACAAGTGATGCCTGTTACAATAGCTGATATCCATCTAGTTTCTAGCTGCTTATCCAGCACAAGGTCACAATGAAACTAACTCAGGAAACACATGGTAAATTACAGATGGCCAATTCACCAAACTACAGGTGCTTGGACTGTGAGAGGAAAAACACCCAGTACAGGGAAAACATACAACCTCCACATGCATAGAACAGGGGAGCAAGATTCAAACCCCCAAATATAGAGGCAAGAGTGCCCCTGAGTCCCCCAGAGAATATACAGCATCCCACATCCCCTTCATAAAAAGTCTTCATTTGGATTATCTGCTGATTTTTTTTTACCGTGTGTGTCTGTCGTGCATGCAAACTGTTGTACTGTATTCATAAAGAGGATTATGTCTGCAATGCATGCTGGGAATTGAAGTCACAGTACTTTCCACTGAGTATCCTGGCCTGTAACTTCAGTCTGACTAATCTGGTGGAAAAACAAAATATAAAAACGGCGTAGCACCAGAATCAGCATACATGCTCTGGTGTCCAGTCATAACAGATATAGGTGTCTGTCCTTTATGAGCCTTCAGCTCCATAATTCAACATGCTGCGGACACTACAAGGGGCTTGAGAGAGTTTTGATTTGTTTCTTTTTAAAATTCACTTCAATTAAAGCTAAATTTGCAGTTTCACTCATTTCTCAATTTATCGTTATGAACGATATAAAATATAAATTTTTTGCACAATCCAGCCTGGCTTTTCCCTGCTTCTCATTGATGAAGGGCTTCTGTCTTGCTTTATGGGTCTTCAGTCCTACTTCTAGAATCTGTTATGAACTGTCCTAGCAGTGCACTTCACACCACTTAATGTTTCCCATTCTTTTTGAAGGTCACTTGATGTCATCCTCCGATTTATGAGACACTGCCGGATAAGTTGACAGTCATCGCTGGCATTAGAAAGTTGCTTCTGCCCTCTACCTGACTGGTTTCTGGTTGTTCTCTGTGTCTCCTGCTTCACCTTGTTCTTGTGTACCGCTTCCTTAGTAACTCTGAGCCTGGAAGCAGCCTGCCTCACAGAGGCCAGCAGAACCAGGATTAAACCATAATTCAATTGTGTAAAATTCATCTATCAGCTATAACCGCAAGTTAATTATCATAATAATAGACTTCCTCACATTTTAAATATTTCAGAGTAGTTATTGTCAACAATTATTTCCCTGAGATAAAAATTCTACCCCTCTTTCAGAAATATATGTGCTTACCCCATCATCTGGCCATTGAGCTGTGAGTAGCTGCCATACTGACATGAATGATGGTTCTTTGGGATCTACACCTTCATGCTCTACACTTAAGGCCCTTTCCCCTCACTTCCAGGCAACAAGGCAACAACGACAGCAGACCCACCAAAGGCCATGGCTTCTTTGAGGCTTTGAAGGATACATTGTAAACGCAACATCACCGTGCTTCTTTGCCCTCAGTTATTTCCATCAGCGGACCTATCAAGCTGCCTGGATACACACACACAGACACACATGTAGGGTAAACATATCCTTATGGGGACCGCTCATTCATTTCAATGGGAAAAACGCTAACTATGACAACCTTAACCCCTACCCTGCCCTAACCATAACCATAAGTAACCTAACAAAATACAAGAGTTTTTGCATTTTTAGTTTTTTCATAGCAGTCACTGATTTTTTTAGTTTTCCCTTATGGGGACCAGGAAACCGGATATTTATCACGTTATGGGGACATTATGACCCCATAAAGATAGGTCACACACACACACATAGAGGCACATTCCTCTCTGGAGGTGATTCCAGTCAAATGTGACACTTGCCCCACACAGGCCGACGGAGAACACACTGTCCCCCCCCCCCCCCCCCCCCCCATAAACAACGCACAATTACACCAGGGTACAGGCTGCGAAAAAACAACAGCAGTTACCAAAAATATGGTGCCGGCAAGCAATTACACATCGAAATCAAATAAAAAATAAATATTTTAAATTCAATGACCTATTTTGTTTATGATATAGCGTCTATTAAATTTGCACATCAGTGAGTTTCCTCATTTCAACCTGAATTTTGCCTTGAGCTTCCATCTCTCTTTTTTTTCTACAAGTCTATACATTGTACCGGAAAGAACTCAGGATTATAGCCAATATAGACCGAGAACAGATTCTGTGTGTGTGTGCATGTGGCAAATAACTGGACATCCATTTCTGGATGACATGCATCAAATAAGTCAGAGGAGGAAGTGTTATGCAGTTTATTAAATGATCTGTAAATGTTATATTTGAAAAAAAAAGGACCTTTTCGTAAGCGTTTCTCAGTTTTTCCAGGACTCAGCCTTGCAGCATTCCATGCCAAGTTAATTTACCTAAATATATTCTCAGCACAACACCAACAACTTTGTTAATGGAAGCTTGCTGATCCATAACAGTTCCAGTGGTAGATGTTTGCTGGGGGCAGCACAGCATTAATGTTAATATCAATGATCGATCAGGGGATTTGCAAGAAAGCAAGAGGTGTTTAATTATAATTGCACAAGGAGTGATGGTGTAATGGCAGCGGGATTTGAATAAGGTCACATCTCCGGCTCACCTTGCAAGTGTTGTGTTATATTAAATGCCACTCATGTTAAGTGCACTGAAACCTTCTTGATGTAGTCACAGCATAATATAAAGGTTAAATTGAAAAATGTCCCTTCACCAGCAGAAAACACCTGTGATGATTGATATCCCTTGTAAGGGAAATAAATGTTAACAGAGCCGGTTCATAACTTGTACCTCTATGAATAAAATGTATTTATTACATGAAAATGTGGATTTTTCTGATTATATTTTGAATGTTGCAGTTTCACTGAAATTTAAAAGGTCAAGTGGCTGGGTAAGCAGAGTCTGTTAGGGAATGGCTGAGGCTGCTCTTCCAGTTTGTTAATTATCATAGACCAACAAGGAAAAAGAGCAGTTAAAAGAAGCATGATATTATTACAACAGATGATAACAAACTGTAACAACCCTGCATAGCAGGATAGCGGGCCAACCTGAGAGTACACACACATACATGCACACACACGCACACACACACACACACGCACACACACACACACACACACGCACACACACACACACACAGGTTTATAATTATATCTTTGTGGGGACTCTCCATTCATTTTTATGGGGGAAACCCTAATAACATGATGACCTTAACTCCTAACCCAACCCTAACTGTAACCATAAGTAAGCAAACAATATTAGACTTTTGACATTTTTACTTTTTTGATTGAATTCACAGATCTTTGTGGGGACCTGAAAACAGGTTTTTATTACATTGTGGGGGACATTTGGTCTCCACAATGTAATATAAACCTAATCCACACACACACACACACACTCACACAGAGGAATGTTGGTATTCATATATTTGTGGGGACTGTCCATTCATTTCTATGGGAAAAACCCTAATCCCAACTATGGCATCCTTAACCTCTACCCATCCCTAACCTTAACCATAAGTAACCAAAAAAAATTACAAAATACAAGTTTTTGATTGCAGTTACAGTTTTTTTACAAATTGTTTTTCCCCTTGTGGGGATGGAAAAAAAATGGTCAAAATTGCAGCTTTTTTTATCACATCATAGAGACATTTGGTAATGTGTACATGACCCACACACGCATACACACTCTCAATGGGCAGTTTGCAGATGCAAATTCACCTAACCGCATGCCTTTGGACTGTGTAAGGAAACTGGAGTACCAAGTAGAAACCTTGCATGCATGGAGGACATGCAAACTCCCCACACAGAATACGGCTTATGTATGGCGTTAGGATTTGTATGTTTTTTTATATATTCTATCACATTTACAAGGGCAATTTCATTGCAATGAAAAAAGAAAAATTGAAACAAATAATTAGTTATAGCATTTTCTTTTAACACTTCACATATTATTATACTTTTTTTAATATTCAAATACATCACACCACATTTTGGATTTAATGCTAATATAATACTTCATAATACTCAGCAGTATGACAAAAAAATGCTGTTTCCAGCTCCCCAAATGCCATGCAGCGCTCAGCTAACCCTGAGCCTTCCATGCTAACAGAGCTTTGCTTCCATGTGTATTTTTCCTCCTCCTATCATTGAACCTTCACCTCAAGTTTATGACTTGTGCACCCAGTCATGCCTCAGTTTCTCCCGCTGGTGCTGTGTTCCTGTGGTGTTCCAAGCAGAGCTTCCAGCTTCAGCTACGTTGCTGGATTCTTCTACTCTTGAAGTTTACAAAGGTATCCATGTACATAAATTCACCCATTAAACACAGTGTCACCCGAACCTGTGTGGTATGGTTCCGTGTGAGTGTAAAGATATTGTTCCTGTCTGTAACCATGCCATCTACACCTTCACTGGGTATGAACTGTACATGCAGGGTGTGATTGCACCATGGATGTTTTTATTTTTCTCATTTGTGGCATATGTCTGTTTAGGCTTTAATACACAGCACTGTATTCCTGCCTGTAAGCAGTAAACAAGACAATTACACAGGCATATCGGACAGCATGTCTTCTTGACTTGAGTTTGTGGGATGAGCCTGAAGTTCCCGGTCTTCCATACTTGTGCTTGCAAGGTAACGCAGCTTTGTCGTCAAATAAAACTTTCTTTTTCGTGTGAAGCAGCTTCTGATGGTTGAAACTATTCATCTCTCCAGGGTTCACAGAGTCAGCAGCAAGCGAATGGCTTTACGAGACACAACTGATTGATCTGAATTGAAGTACATGTACAGAGGATAGAAGCTATGGAGGCGATGATGGCAAACATGCCTGCTGTAGTGTAACTATTAGCATTGTCTTGCATGAGAATGCAAATGTCATTCATGCCGCCGAGGGAATCGCCATTCAGGAAACATATTGTTTGGGGGGGGGGGGGTAAGTAGTAAGTAGACTCATAAGTCTACTTACTGCCATTAACTGTCTATTGTTAGATGGTCACATTGTCCAAAATTGAAGATTGAGGTGCTGGGGCTCCAGAAGGTGAACGGGGGGCCCCGTGGCCCCACATGGCGGGGGGCGGAAGCCAGGCAGGGGGTCCGGAGTGGACAGGATGTAGTCGATGCTGAACTTGATTTCGGATTCGGGTTTTCCCAGAGGAGGGGGGTTGAGCCGGGGTTGTCTGTTGCTGGGGTCCATGGGACAAAAAGGACTGGAGTCCAGCTGCCTCAGGGTGCCGTCCTGGGGGCCGTCCAGGGGCAGGAAGGGTTCGGCCGGCTCCCGAAAGCCCACCTTGATGTTGCGTCTGCGGCGACGTCGGCGGAAGTTACCGTTCTCAAAAAGGTCCAGCATAGACTCACAGCCTGTAGCAAATGTCCAGTAATTTCCTTTCCCCTTATCATTGCCCTCGGTCCTGGGAACCTGCAACACAAGTTACATGGATGTGTTGTTTAGCTTTTAATTGACTCTGTTACTAATGTATGTCACCTGGATGACACTACTGAAAACTGTGACCCTAAATGGTAAATCTCAAAATTTTTAGCATGCTTAAAACTGGGGAAACGTTATTTAGCAATGAGCTGAAGAGAGAAAAAAAAAAGTTTGTGGGCATTCACAATGGGTTTCTCAAATTATAGATCTGTCCAGATATGTGGAAAAAATACATTTTTTTCCAGAATGAACCATAAGAGAAATTTTATTAAAGTTCTCTCTCTTTTCTGTGGTTTATGCATTTTCATGAATATATTTTTCAAAAATATATTTTTAATGATCTGAAATCTTTTCAGATTTGACATTATTTCCATGCCTAACGTGGAAGCGATTTCTGCATACAATTTAACTACCTCTGTAATGGATGAAAGTTCTCACAACAATAACAACAACAATAATTATTAGAATAAATGATCATGATAAATAACCACCATAAAAAAATATATATTACAAGATGTCCTACGTGTACATTGCAATATTTTCTATGTATATTACATGGGATCTGAGTAAGGTAAAGTCATGCTGTAAAAAATAAAATAAAAAAAATCAGTAAAATCACCCGTTGGCTTACATTGATCAATAGTTTTAACGGATACAGAAAATGCGTGTCACTTTATGTTCCTAATTCCCGGCATATAAAATTAACGGCAATTACTTTACCTTTATGAAGCAGCTGTTGAGAGAGAGGTTGTGTCGTATTGAGTTCTGCCAAGCTCTCTGGTTGGAGCGATAGTAGGGAAATCTCTTCATGATGAACTCGTATATCCCGGACAGGGTGACTCTGTTATCCGGACTCTGCTGAATGGCCATTGCTATAAGTGCAATATAACTAAAAAAGAGATCGAAGAATTCAGTATAAGACAAATATTCCAATTATGCAGCTGCAGGTAATATAGCATATTCTAGACCCAAAGTCACAACTCTGGTTCGTTTTAATTTTGGAAAAAAACACATTAATTAAATACTTTATTTTATGTGAAAACTCAGTAATGCTAATAGTCTATCTCTATCTGTCTGTCTATCGCTTACACCTCTATATTCGATAAACGAGTCTGATCTTTGCAATTTAACAAACAGCGAGTCCAGTTTAAAGAGCGACAGTTAAAGTTACCAGAGACGATCTACGCCAGCTGTTCATCTTAAGTCAGCAATACAGGGGTAAACAATAATGATTAACAGCAATTCGAATAATTAGAAATGGAAGAGATAACGGTATATATGACAAAAAGTTATAAATGTAGGCTATCGAAGACATTGCGAAAATATACCCTCTAAACCTGAGTAAGTTCGTAAGTTTATTACACAAGAACAAGAACAACAAAAATAACAACGAACAAACAACAACATCATCATCAACAACAACAACAATAATAATAATAATAATAATAATAATAATAATAATAATAATAATAATAATACCTGTAGGCTGGTCGGCACATTTTTTTCTCTTCATCAGTACTACAGGTAGGATAGCCGTCACCATCGTAATTGAAACAATTGTACGGATATTGCGAATTATCAAACATTGTTTAATATGTACCTTGCAGAGTGACAATGTTACAGCTGTCACATATGCTGAGGATAAACGCGCAGCTGACTCGCTCATCCAAGCCGTGCGGCGCCCGCGGTTGCCGGCCAGATGTGAGTAGTTGTTCGCCACTGTGGCTCCGCAAACGAAGTCTAACTCCACTAACAGCAAGCGGCCGGTGTCCCAGAACAGCCCGTTCCGATGGACGGCGTGCAGGTCCCCTGGCGCCTAAGTGCAGATAACAGACGGAATTGCTCGGCTCCCACTTGCTTGCATGAACCTCTGAACCCGGGGCGTCATCAATTTGTAGCTAAACGGTCTCACTCGCTCCCACTCTGGGTGGTCCTGAACACGGGGAACCGGGCGCTGTTTATTTATTTATTTTCTATTTCTTTTTATAGTCACATACATCAAACAGACAAAAGCAGTCCTCTCACACACACAAAAAAAACACTTCATGCGGGATTTCATTTTTATTTTCGTCTAAATAATCCTTATGAACAAAAGTAGAAATTTCATTTTTTTGTGTTGTTTACTGAAAATACAGAAGTTGCGGCCAACAATGCGAGGTCTGTAGATCTTATCTATAATACTGTATAATGGGCGTAAATTGTCTTTCCGTGACTAAAGGGAGAAGATGTGTGTTCAAAGGGTCCCTAAACAGGGGCATTTTAGTGACTACTGTCAGGCAGGCGGAGACTGAGAGAAACAGCTCTGGGCGTCGTGTCTGCCTGTGTGGGCTTGGGAGACGGGGAAGTCCTGTCTTCCCGTGTATCGGAGCCACTACATCAGGTTAAAAACGCCTCACCGTTTTTTTTTTCTTTGACGCTGGAATTGGAAAAATCAAGGCCCTCTGATTCAACTTAATAGAGATTTGTATCAAAAATAGAGTAGTAGAAGTATACAGATCAAGGATGTATAGATTGGACAAAAAAAAATTCTTTGGCAAAGATTTAAAATGCTGATTTCATTAAGTGATGATGAAATCACAATGCAGTCATAGGTATGTTCGAACATTTAAATGTCTCAATACTTAAAATATAAATTTTGCCATCAGCGAACAAAAAAAAAAAGGCCAGCTAGCATAAGCCACAATCATTTGGTAAGTCTGGCTTGAACATTACAAGAATGCTGTAGGAGCAAAGCATGTAGTAACAGATAGGTAAACAGCCTATTTTGGGCCTTCGCAGTTTTTTTACATGCTGGTTTTTGAAAGCTGTTATCCTTTTGAAGTGTACCTAATCGTGGCTTTTCAAGGATGAATGTTTTCAGCAATGGTAGCATTATGTAATTAAGTCCAGTTTTACTGTTCAAAAAGAGGACTCTAAAAGCTTTCGTAGGAAGTGATTCAGATGTTTCATTTTTGTGTGTTGAAACACTAACAACATGGTGGCTCATTCCTTCAGGGTTATGCGTGTGTGTGTTTGTGTGGTTATGTATAAATTACATCATGGTGACATTTGGTCCCCACAATGTAATAAAAAACTGTTATTTTGATGTTGTGGGGACCATTTTTTCAGTCCCCACAAGAGGAACCTCAATTTTATCTGCAATCAAAAAACTAAAAATGCCAAAAATCTTGTACTTTGTTTGGCTACATATGGCTAAGGTTAGGGCTGGGTAGGGGTTAAGGTCGTCATGTTGGGATTAGAGTTTTCCTCATACAAATTAATGGAGAGTCCCCACAAAGCTATAATTACAAACCTGTGTGTTTGTGTGTGTGTATGTGTGTGGTGTGTGTGTGTATGTCTGTGGTGTGTGTGTGTGGTGTGTGTGTGTATGTCTGTGGTGTGTGTTTGTGTTTATGTGTGTGTTTGTGTGTGTGTGTGTGTATGTGTGTGTGTAGGGTGTTCCTGTGCTTTCCAGAATAGGTTTCAGGTTCTCTGTGCCACTGTACATGATAAACAATTACAATGCATTGCGGGTTTTATAATAAGCTTGATACATTGAAGTGATTAGTAACAATAAACTATATGCTAATTACCATCCTGTCGAGGGTGAACCCCAGCCTTCTGACCTGTATTGTCTGAGATGAGCTTCAGTCTAGCAGTACATACACGCAGAATGTATTTAGAAATTAACAAGGAATTGAATAATTGAGCACCATTATTCATCTGCTACTTGAGGAGTGGCTCAGTGGGTGGCGCTGTTGCCTCATAGCTCTACGGCTGAAGGTTTAAATGCTGCCTCCGCATTCTGTGTGTGCGTGTGTGATGTTTGCATGTTGTACTTTAAGTATTGTGGCTTCCTGCTGCAATCCAGAGACATGCAGTCAGGTTAATGGGAATCTCTAAATTGCCCGTTGTGTAAGATTGCATATTTATGTGTTTTGTGATGGACTGCCAGTCTGTCCACGGTGTGCTGCTTGGCATGAGCTCCAGATCTGCAAATCTGACCTCCATAAGCATTGGAAGATGGATTGATATAATACGTTATAAATATAAAGTAAACATGTTATTTGAGTTGTGCCAATAATGCTATGTCATAAATGTAAATGTATCTTATAGTCTATTTGCCTACAGTTTGATTAAATTAAGGTGTAGCTGTAAGTGGTGTAAAATATAGTACTGTTAAAAGGAACTAAAAGCAACTGACGAAGATGATGATGAAGGACTTCCTATAGAAAATGTTTTACAAAACATTTGTCCATGCCCTTTTTTCCCATAGGAAATAATTAAGGTAATTTGCGTCTGGTAGCACTAATAATTGCAAGTGTGTTTGAAAAAAATAAGTGTTCATAGGTTCATAGTATTACTCCATTTATGATCTTCTCTTGAAATATTTTATTTACATAAATCCAGGTATTTGAAATGTAACTTGTCTGCTTTGTAATGGTGCTGTTTTGCGAGCAGCAGACAAAATGGTGAGACAGAATATCAGGTCTTGGGGAGAGCGGCCTCCCGACAAGCAGCCAATCAGATAACAGTCCCACAGGAGACTTCATGCATTCCCATGACAACACTTCCGCGGTGGACTGTCTGGGGCAGCTGATTGCAGCACTGTGTTTTGCGGTCTCTATCCCCTTAGATGTTTGTCTGAACTTCGCTTCCTTCATTCATAAAAGGGATATTTAAGCCTATTTGTTAGACGGCTGAAAAGAGTATGTGAAGGTTATCAAAACAAAAGTAATGATCAGTATAATTACATCGACTGCCCAATGCCGCCTTGGTAAAATAGAGCCCCATTTTAGAAAATGTATAAAATTGCCAAACTTCTTTCTGAAAATACATTTTAATTTTGTGATGCTTTATTAACGTAAATGTCAATGCCATTTTGTCATAAAAACGATTCCCACCCAGATTTAAAATCAAGCAAAAAAAGAAAAAGTTATAGCCTACTACGATACACGATACAAATATTTGAAAACTGTTTACCATGTTCACAGGGAAGATTACACTGGTTCGCAATTGTTTATTTTCTTCTTGCAAATCAAAGTAGGTCATTGTCAGATTTTTTTGTACTGGATTCTAGCATCTATAATCGGAATTTCCCTATCATGCAAGGACTTTGAGTGATACACAATTAAACTTGATGCTACTGTATATGTATAGTTGCAGTGTATGTGCAGGGTGGAAGTGACTCTTCTAAAATGTAGACGTGTATGGTTTTCTGCTGTGCTTGGCCTCAGGAACATTCACGCTAAGGGGGCAGCGGAAGTCAGCCGGCATACTTGATCACCAGCTGCCACCACGTTTGGAAGTCAGAGAGAGCAGAACCCTGCGTCAACATACAGTACGTACCGATGTGTTACGGCTTGCGAACTCCGGCAGAACAGACTTGCAGTGCATTGTGCCCTTCTGTAAAGTGGTAAAAATGTTCAAAATAGAAATAAAATATTTTTTTTCCTTAAATTAAGCATTAATATACCCATACATTGATAATAAGGAATTATATACTATCAATATAGCCACTCTAAAACTATAGGTGATCGCAAAATGTTGAGTGCATTTCTGAAATCAACACAAAAAGTAGACAAAGGACACCCTTCAGTTTTTCTGTGACAAAGTCCTTGTCGACCAGTGTTATTAATGACATTTGTATCTCTAAGCAGTCATATACAGGATCTATGAATATAATAACATGGACTGTTCGTGGGTTGTTTAAGTAGGCTAAACTAGAGCAGACTCTCTGTATAAACATAATTCTGAAAAATATTACATAAAAAAAAATCCAGACATTGATATTTAGCTTTCCCATCATACCAGTAAATGATACGCACCAGGTATTCGGTTATCGTTTTGGGAGGTGTTGTAATTAATGGTGGGCAGTGCAACCTGAAGCTCATCCTCTGGATGTATTTTAATGTTGCATCAGGTTGCTGAAAGGTTTGGCTCAGTGGGCCGCTTTTCAGCTCCATATCTCCTGTGTTGCGGGTTTTAATCCTGGCCCAAAATCAAAGGTCTTTAGAGGAAATAATAATAAAAAAAAGCTTTTAAGTGAATTGGTATCTCTAAAATGTCCATAGTGTGCCCTGTCACAGTAATGCTGTGACATATCATAAAAACAATTCTTATAAAATTCTTTAGATATTATTATCATGTATGCATAAGTTCATTAATTCTTCATTAAAAGTTCTTTATAACGCCTGAGTGTAATGCGGAATTTCAGTAAATCAGGGGGGTAACTAGATGCTAAATAAAGATGTTTTTCTTTGTTTGCACTGCCACCTAGTGGAACAAATGGGTATCACATCAATATTCATTCGTCTTAGATGTCACCTAACGACATCCATGTAGGAAAGAATGGTACATTAATTAATCAGAGAAAATATATGTGGGAAAAATATGTGTTTCACTCGAGGAGTGATTTTCTGATAAACAGCTAAGAGAGGATATGAACCCCGTGCTCCACTACCTGGAACGGATGAAATAAAAATTAAAAATGAATTAAAAATTAAGAAAGAAAGAAGAAACTGGGTGCAATCGCTTAACAGCGCCAACTAATCCTGCAAGTTTGTATAAGCCTCATATTTCATTCCATCCTTTATAGTCGTCTGCAGATTAGATTGTTTTCTAAACGTCAGCAGAGACGTCATAAATTCTTCATATAAATGTTCATTGCCCACCATTCGGGGTCTAAGAAAAAACAACACACTTTGTTTTTGTTTTTGTTTTATTGCACATTTTGCAAACAAACTCCACACAAACAATGCATGAAAGTAAAAGAAGCGTATCGCCACAAAGTCATAGCTTTTTAGGCTGGCAAATTACTTATACTTATTTACATGTGAGAACAGAAGGGAAAAAAGTAGTGCCGTGTTTATCACCATCAGGACACGATGGACACACACCTCAGCTCCAGTTCTCCTTGAATCCAGGTGGAAAGTAAGTCTTTTTTTAAATAGTGAAACCAAATATTCAAGTATTCCTATCATTGCACAGGCACTGGATTAAATCCAATTCATTCAACTGTACTTACACAGCCACTCTAGCATTGCACTCTGCTGACAGTGACTGATGCCCACACCCTGGCTGTACTGTCAGTATACGATAGACATCAGCACACCATGTTGAAGTACCCACAATGATGACACAAAATCGAAAACAATTCTTCTTGTTTATTTAAGCGTCATTTAATTTTCTAACTTAGACTTCAGAAAATAAAACAGCAAAACAAAAACTAAAGGTAAACCATTATTAGTCTATGGAGGCTATGCATTTCTTTATAAATCGTCTCCTCTTAACCAAGGAAGATATGTCTTGGTATATGAGTTGTGATACAGCGAAAACCCCTCACGTTTCTAGCACTACTGGGACGCTGCTTTTCTTAGGAACAGTCGGTCAACCTACCATACAAGTTATGGTTTTAAAATATTGTCTTTTCACTACATTGCCACTGTGATCATTGTGTATATTTCTTCAGACGAACACAACCTCACACAAGGACAAAAGGAAGTAACACTTAAGTCTTTATACATTAGGCACTGTGTACAAAAGGATTTTCTCCTAATGGATAATTATGCTAGCATTAAAATGTATGTTCAAGATGCAATTAATAATGCAGCATTTCATCTATTTACAGTAATAAATGCTTACTGCACAGTCTGAAGTCAGGACATGTATTTTGACAGCAGCCACAATGAGAGTTACTGTTCAATTTTGTAAAGACATGATTCTTCACCCAGTGCAGAGGCCTTTTGCCACCCTGCTAACCCGCGGTCAGTGTGTGCAAATTGGTTTCAATTGTGCATTTTGCTGTGCTCCGATATCGACCAGAAGTTTTTCGAATGGAAAAGAAAACATTATACATAAATAGAGCCTGTTCTCCCTTGCCATTTTAAATTGGATTTAAATTCCTATGCTCCTGCTGAATTTTCAGTGAGATGGAATATTTACAATACACTTCATGCTATTGCACAATTCAAGGAGGTCGTCCTTGAGCCACCAGAAAGCCCATGGGGAGGCTTGATGCAATAGTGTACGATATCTGAAAGCCATAATCATTCTGTTCTATTCCCATGGCTTCTACAGACTTAGAGGCCTGGGATCTCTGGAGTTTTGGTCATGAGTCAAAAAGTGCTTCATACAAAAAGCTTATAGGACAGACATGACATGTTGTTTGGAATACATACAATGATACAGAGCGATACAGAATATCAGGCAACAATGTCAGAGACCCAAGTTTTGCAACTGAAGCTAAAAGAGTATTTCAGTAACAGATTATTATATTACCTCATAATTTAATTTTATCATGGTACCCCAATTTACACACACACACAAACACACGCACACAAAAAAAACACAAGATTAGTGCAGAATCAGACCACATCACAGAACTTGACTTGTTCTCCAGTTCTCCTGGAATGTATAGAAATAAACAAACCAGAGTGCTGATAAATAAGGAAATACATTTCAATTTTATCACAAGTCTGGTTGGAGAATCAAAGTTCAACTTTAAAATGCACAGGAAACGTTTTATGATTCCTAAAGACAACTTGTAATATCGGAATTGATTTAATCAAGGAAACAGAAGCTTTTGCCCTTTGGCAAGACCATTTCAGACTAACTATCTTCCACAAAGGCTTGACAGTTTAAGGAAAGGACTTAGCGATCTGGTGAAAATATTAGACGAGCTAATTAATGAGCTAATTATAAAAAACTTAAGTCTGATTTCAATTTCAATTGTCTAAACTTGGACTCTTATGGCATATTATATAGACCAGGGGTGGACAATGTTATCCACAAAGGGCTGGTGTGTACGCAGGTTTTTGGGATAACCTTTAGGTCAGCTGTTCAAACCCAGGTGTGAGGACTCCCCAGCCAATCAGTCCTCTAATTAGTGACCTAATTAGGGAGTTGCAGCAAAAACCCGCACACACACTGGCCCTTTCTGGATAAGATTGCCCACCCCTGATATAGACTTTATAGTGTTCACTATAAACATTCATAAACTATGACTCATTAATATGCATGTTATTATACTGGTAGCAAAATATGAAATTGGCTCAGTCATTTATATTATGGCCACTTGTGCTTTTGAAGTAGCGTCATCTAATACAAACAGATGTATGGATGCACTTGTGTAGACATGAGAAGGAAAACCCAGTACCTAGGAAATCAATAACTTAATTAGAACATAATTCTGAGTTTGGCAGCTTTTTGCAAAGTGAAAGGACGCAGCACTTTGATATATGTGAACAGTCCCAGCACGAAGAGTACCTAACATAAGGTCTACAGAACGCCTCTGAAGTACAAAGCATGTGATTATAACCCAAAGTTTAACGAGTGTGGCTGAACAGTGTTTATTAAATGTCAAACACAAAGTTGGCCCATGTCCGCTGTTTATAGGTAGAATTAATATTAGGATTTACGTCCCTTAGTTGTAAAACAACAGCATTTGTCATGTCTACACCGCTCCATGTTTAGGCAATAATGTAAACATGAAAAACTGAATGAATGACCATAAACAAACAACAAAAAAATATAATTTGATTTTTAAACCCAAATATATAAAAAAGGAACTCCATAAATATGACCTCTAGCTATGGCTGTGCAGAGGTTCCTAAGAACATGCACGCATGCTGCCTTTTCAGCAGATCTGACCGAAGCGAGCGGCTGGGCACCAGCTCCCCGGACAGCCACACCCCCACGAGCTTGTGCATCGCACGGTGGAGACGAGGAGCTAAGCCTGCCCTTCTTTATGTATCCAAATTCCAATCCAATACACTTCAACCGAACCAGTCTTATTCCCTTTTGCGCACTTAATCGGATGTTCACAACAAATAAAAAATAAGTAACTCAATAAATAATTTAAGGCCAATTGAGGCTGGCAGGACAAAATAAACACACATTGGAGCAAACCGGCACTCCAATCAGTGCCTCGGATTAAAAAGAAAAATTTTAAAAAATTATACAAGGGACAACAATGGTTCTTGTTGACGCGCTGTCAGATATGAGCAATAAAACCATTTTATTTAACAAGACCATGTCTATCACCTCCCTTATGCATGTACTTGCACACAAGCTTGTATCAGCTTATATACACACACTTATATACAAACACACATACAAGAGAAATGAAGGAATAAACGAGTCTTGGAATTCACTGAATTCAAAAAGTTGCGTAAATAGGGGCGTCTCTTGCAAGACTTTGGAGGGCTGGGGGGTGGGATCTGGGAGTGCAGGGGGAAAGCTCCCTCCGGCCCTGGCCTACTACCTGTCCCGGGGGGCCGTGTGGGTGCTCCCCCCCTCCAGGTCGTCCTCCACCACGGCCGTGTAGCCCTCCTTCTCGATGCAGTCGGACAGCACCTTGAGCACCAGGCGCAGCCGGCGGTCCATGGCCTCTAGGTGGGGCTGGATGAGCACGGGCGTGAGCCGGTCCCTCAGCAGGGACTCAGCCATCAGGGTGCTCAGCTTGAACTCCTCCCTGGCCAGCAGCTGGAGGCGAAGGTGGGTCGATTTCTTCACTCTGCAGGGAGACGGGGGGGGCGGCACGTGGGGAGCTGTCATCATCTTTCGCTCTGCTTCCCCTGCCCTTTGTCTTCTACATTACTGCAGAAGTGTTTGTTCTTTTATAATTTAAGATAAGATTATCATGCCATACTTTCCTTAGCTGCACTTAACACGATCAAGTGTATGAAGCGTCTGTTTTAAACTATTTACAATTATTTTACAAGTATGAATGCATGTCATGCATGTATATGAATAGATTTTAGAAAACAAATTTACATAAGGAAACAGCAGCATTATACATAAAATACTTTTACAGATATTGCTCTGAACAGCAAGATATGGGACCTATGAATATTAAGGAAGTGAAACTTTCTGCTCTGTCTGAGCTGTCATGGTCCTGAACACAGATGATGTGATGCTAATTGATAACCTAAAAACATAGCTAATCATTTATGTCTGCAGCTATAAGATGTTTTATCTTATCAATATTAAAACAAGAGGGACATTTAGTGATAATGACAATATATTGTGCATAGTATCCACCATAAAATATGCATCGTATATTGTTATATCAAGTTACATGACACATTTTAATAAGTAGCTGCTGGTGTTGGCCCAGACTATTTGAATTACTGCATTCACAACAACGAGAAAATGTATTAGAGATAGTGAAAGTAATCTAACAGCTTTTTCCTCAACATTATGCAATTATGTTTGCTTCGTAAATAAAACCGGAATGTACAAAATTGTCAAGGAAATTGGTAGAGGTGAAATACACTCAAATCACATCAAACAGGCTTTTATTGTCAATTCCCTATATGTTCATAACATACAAAGGAATCGAAATGCTGGTCCTCTCTCATCTTTGTAATAACAAAAGATATAGATGTATAAAAAAGAAAAAAAAAGTATAAAGTATAAACATATAAGACATTGACACTGTTATTTCAACATTCCAATGAAAAATAAATCCGCTGACTCACCTGCAGCATTGGCTTAAAGGCACAAGAATAGAGGCTTCGTCATGGGAGTATTTCCCAAACCTGGAAAAAAAAGATGTAATAGACATATTCAACCTTTTTGGCTCAGCACTGGAGCACTGTAATATTTATAGAATGGATCGATATGATGTTGTGGAAAATTTAGGCAGGTAGCTTGAAGGCTTTTGACGCAGTCTTAAACAAAAGGCTTCTTGAGGATGCAGCCTGCGATGTTATACTTGTGCTTAAGCATAAGCGTAAATAGATGAACATGTTAGTCAGATGCTATAAAACTGGTCTTGCTGACTAACTAAACTGAAAACAAGCACACACAGATTCAGATACACTGATACACAGCTACAATTACCAGCATTGTGATATTCTGAGAAATCACCATTCAAGAAAATCAATAATCCTGTTTGTAAACACCTTACTTACACAACAAACAAACACAAGAATATGTTTTTGTTTATGATAACATAAAGCATGGAACCTTTTAACCCCTTAATTTGCAACACAGTGTTGTTTCATAATGCTCTATAATCGTAACAGAAAATTTACAATACGAAAAAAAAAATCTATTTACACATATGAGATCTTGCTGTGTTGCCTCACACACACTTCTACTAGCTAGTTTAAATATTTCTCATCCCCAAAATGATTTCCTGCTCATGTGACCTTAGTAATGACCTAGTGCCTCCTTACCCTCTCCCATTATCCAAGTGGATGATAAACGTGTCATTCCCAAACTTCTCAAACGTCTCATAGTGATGCCGATCCATATTACCTGTGTGACACAAGCACAATTAATCCTGTAAGAGGCAGGTGCTTAAATGATGTAACATCTCAAACGACATCCAATCTATCCATCTAGGAAGTCGCTGGATTTCGTGTTACAGATTTCAAGCGTTCTTTCAGCTGTTTTTTTTTTCAATACACAGAGACAATATGTTTTATAAGACCTGACAGAAAGATGAATACACAAAAGAATTCTAATCCAGGGTAATATGCCTATGCGTGATAATGGCACACTGATAATATCTAGAGGAGGTATATGAGGATTTTATGAAACATCTCACCCATGAGAAAGTCAAAGATGGTCATGTCCATAATGTCCAGGAGGCGCGTGCCGCTATCATAGGGCGGGGTCTGCTTGACCTCCTCGCAGTAATCTGGGTCAACCTCCCATCTGTTGGGAGAAAACATCTGACGGTTTTCACAGGAAGTCCACTGCTCTTCTTATTCCCTGTCTGGGATTTCAGTGTGCGAAATGCATTTACAAACCAAATTCTGCTGCCTTCATCTTTTATTAATGATCCGTCAGTAACCGCTGCATCTAATTCAGAGCAGATAACATGGGGCTTGTGTCAGTGTGCCTTTCTGTTCCTGCATGTGTGTATGTATGTCCCCATTCTACAGCACTGAATGCTGGCTTGGCAGCAAATGACCAGGTGCCACTCTCATGATTCATACTCAAAAATAATAGCAACACGCCGTTTCCCTGACAACGATGCTGCCGGTTCAGCCTTCGGATGTAACATCTTTCTGATTAGCTGCTTTCCTGAAGAGCGCGGTGCAGATATCTGTCCGCGCAGAGCGTGAGCTGGCCTGCGGGTGGAGAATTTTTACCTTCCGCGCAGCTGGGGAGAGGATTGCTGCACGACTGTGAACTACAGGCCCTATGAGATCTCACGCGGTCCCGGGGAAGAGTGAAAAATGGCATCATGCAGGACTCAAGAACATCACAAATAAGAATTCAAGATTTGGAGTGAGCACTGAAATCAGAAAAAGACTGTTTTCTCAGTTACCTGTACCTTGAGATTGTTTGATTATCGTTCTGAAAGTATACAGGAGGCTACGGCTTTGCACATATTTCAAAGGGGAGGGAATTCTCCTGGCTTGATGCTTTTATGGATGTGCATTACTCTCTATAATGTATAATTAGAATGTTTCAGTACTTTATAGCTACCAAATATTTCTGCAACACATATATCTCTGTAATGCATTTGTTTGCTACGAAAGCTTTTCTTTCCGAGACCAATCCTTTTATCCATCCAACCATCTTCTGCACTGTTTTTTTTCCTTTCAAGTCGATTCAATTCATTCTTGTACAACACTTCCTGATACAGTTATCCTGAAGCGCATAACAGAGAGTCAACCAACTGTGTCACTCACTGGCATGCAACACTTTGGGGTAACAATAGTGTAAATGAACAGTGAATAAAAGACAGATGACAACAGGGGAGAGGAGACAAAGGTCTACAGTTTGAAAGTTGAGGAAAAGAAGGGTCAACTGCGGTCACATCATCCTGAGTATAACATCACACGAATATTAACCATTCATCCATTCATCCATCCATCCGGGGCTGGACTGACCATCTTGGTCCCCCAGTGGCCAATGGATATGTGGGTCTGGCAAATTTTTCATGGGGGACCTCCTTGTTTGGCAAAATTTACTGTGGGGGACCCAAAGTCAAAGGCAGAGTTTTAATCCCAGTCCTGCAATCCATCAGTAACTTATCCTGATTAGGGCCATGTTGAAGTGTCACTATAAAGTTCAAAGTTCAAAGTTCAAATCTTTATTGTCACATCATGTTACTGGTACAGTACATATGAGTGAAATTCTTGTGTGCTAGCTTCACAAGCAATAGTGGTGTGCAAAATCTATATATATTACTATATATGATTTATACTGTTGCTGTGTAACAGATCAGAGATTTGAATGCTGCTGTAAACAGCTGTATTGTAGAGCACTGCTCACTCTGAGACAAACAGCATACGAAGAGGGCTACTTTAGAATGAGAACCCTCACTGGCTGCGCTACACTGCACAATGGGAACCAAGGGCTACCTTATGAATAATTTTCCAATTAGTTCAGAGCATTTTGATTTACCCCAGAGACAAAGTACTAGGTATTAGTAGAGCAATGGCGTTAGAATTATATCTTTGCTGAATGTGTGGTTCAGCTCTTGGGTGCATTACAGTAACCTATGGTAGCCAACCATACGATCAAAAACCTTGATACACAAAATCACAAAATCCAGTGAACACCATGAAAGATAATTGAAAGATACATCATGGTGGCTCGACCGTGTCCAAACACACCACAAAAACAGGACAACTGTGGGTTTATAATCTATTGCCAAGCAATGTAAATACAACACTGCATCCGCTTCCTTAATTTAATGCTTTCACTAGGCCATCTAATGACATTGCACTTAATTATTCTTATTGCGTCGCTTCTCACGCTGTTCTGCGCCAGTGAATCTATTACTTCATTTTTAAATTTCAATTTCAGGGAGTGTGAGGAATCATATTATCCCAAGTCCCTAATTTCCTGGAGCAATTAAAAAACAGACGATGAAAGAGGCACTTTATGGCTCTTTTGGAAGCAATGAGCTCCTAAATCACTCTGTATGGGGGAAGTTCTGTATTGTCAGTCATTTGTAGCTTTATTTATTTCATTATACCCAATCCTATGTGTTCTGATTGTGACAAAATAAATTTTATAAAACGTAATAAAAATAAATAAGTTACAATTGTATCCCTGCAGACAATGCATAGGGTTCAATGACATTCACCTGTAATATGATTCTGAAATTGTCATTTTTCTTTAAAAATATTGTTCTGTTATTTAAAAGTAAAGATGTAGAGACACAGACATGCCCAGTTCTGGTTCTGGGGGGCTGTAGACCATGCTGATCAGGCCCAGTAATATGGGGAAGGGCAGGGTGGGTCTGGCCCAACTGATCATAAGACTGGAGCACCCTGTCATAACCGTGCCCCCTCCCCGGCCCACCCACATTGCAAAGCTGAGGCACGGCTCGGCACTGATGTTCCGACGCCACGTTTTTAAAGCAAGGAAAGTGGGGAGCATAAAAGCGACCACAATGCATACAGAAGGGCCAACCTCATCATTAGTCAATGATATGTTTTAAATTGGTGAGTGACGAGGAGAGACCAATCAGCTTTCAGCTGGGGCCAGTGGCCCCACCCATGTATATGCCCCTATAGTAGAGTTATGTGAGTACAAGGAGGAAATTCACTGCATAAAATAAAACTAAAAGTGGGAGTGTTCAGTGAAGATGCCCCTGCAGTTACAGAACCAGCTCTTACTCTGCTTTCTTTCGCTTATGGTAGGATCGCCGCCAGGGGTTCCTCCAGGTCTTGCGCTTTGCCAGGGCCAGGTCGGGCAAGAAGGCAGCCAGGGAGCCCTCGATCTGATCGGGCTTCCCGCACAGAGCGTGCTCCGTGGAGCAGTAGTAAGAGCACTCGCCATAGAAACAGATGTTGTTGGCTAAGGAAGATGAGAAAAGGGGGAAAAAATGCATCGCAGCCTCCGTGACGAGCTTAAACATGCCCCTAACAGTAAAGCTATCAACGGCTTCGGGATCAAGGCGCCATGCTGGGGTTTCAAAGCATCATCTCGGCCTCATTGCTGCAGAAGTAGACAGGTGTTTGAGAAGAATGACCTTTAAAGTGTCTCCTTGCCTTTGTGCAGCATATAAATTAAGTCACTATTCATGTCAGACCTATTAGAGAATATCTGACGCGGCACAAGCGCCCTCTTGTCTTTGTGAACTTTGTAATGAATGGAGCTGACATCTGAACTGGAATCCCCTGTCAGTGTGGAGTCCTGTTTAACATATGGCACACAAATGCACTGCACAGCCACCCGCAGTGGCCCGCGACTCTGCCATAGTTTTTATAATCCCCCGGCGCCCCCCAGGACAGCCCCGTGATGTCTGCAGAGTTTGGGGGGGGGGGGGCAATGGCGTCCGCACCTGGCGATATGAAGAAGGTTTTCCACAGCTTCTTGTCCCGGGTCACGTCTCTGATCTCTTTCGTCATGTTGACCAGCCGCCCGGCCACTGGAGGGACTCGACGGAAGTCCAGGATCCTGCCGAAGTGGACAGCGTGTCATCAACTAAGGTGACTCTATTGAGGAAACAGCATCTGGCTACTGCCCACATCTGACGCATCTTGCTAACCAAGCCTCCACAGTCCCCAGACCCAGAGTTGCATGATAATCTCTGGTTGACCACCGAGAGGCGCTGGATTAAACTTCCCTGGATCACTCGCATCTCCTGCTTGGTGTGGCAGCCCATCACGCACTAACACCAGTTACCAGTCACTGGATTGGTAACTGCTGGGGTCCACCTCACGACCTTGATGAACGTGGACAGTGAAGGTCTTTTAAATGCAAACACATGCAAATTAGTTCATATGTTTATTAGATTAAGGGAATTTAATTAAAATCAAATGTGACACCTCAATCTAATTAGACTATTCCCTTGCTTCCCCTGCCACTGGGGGGAGACAAACTCAGGGCGTGCAGCCGTCTGTATGTGAGACAGTGATAAACTGTGGCTCTGTACAGGTTTTCAGGATATTGCTGCCTCATTTAGTGGATAAAATGTCATTGTAATTGAACCATTGGTCAGCTATGAGGATAAAGACAGTATGGAAGAAGTGAGAGGCTCAGTGAAAGGGCGGCCCTAAATATATCTTTTAGCTTGATAATGTAGAACTGTTCAAAATTATTTTCACAAATGTAGCTTACTTGTATTGTTATTAGGTTAATGTATGCATAAATTCAGAATATTTCAGGCCTTAAAATTGGCCCAAGCAGTTGAACGAGCCACAAGGAAAGCGATGGTGAAAATAATGTAATTTCTAACAATGACCAAAAGGGGGAGCTATGACCCAGGCAATTATGTCTAAAACCAAACCAACAGTTTAATGTAATGCTGATATTATTTTAAAGGCTATTATGGAAATAATTCTACGCTGAAATCCCATACAATAATTCTTATTCTAAAAAGGATGGGTAAACAAAACGCATCAATCCTATATAAATAACTAAACAGAAATAAATGAACATCTTGTAAAATGAAGCATGGAAGTGAACCACAAAAAAGTTACTGCTGCAGCAGAAGCAGAGTGCAGGTGCCTCTCTGACATCCACTTTCACTTTCCTGTGTGTGCAGCCACATGAATATTTCATCCGTTTATGACATGAAGCTGAGCTCAGGCCCCAGGGAGAATAAAGGGCCCGCAGCCAGCTGAGATGCAGGGCTGCGACGGCCACGGCCACGGCGATGGCCACGGCGAGCCGAGCCGACCTGCCACCTGAGAGCTTCACGCTCTGCCTCACGCCTCCGTGAAGGACTCATCCAAAAAGACCCTAAATGAACAAGATCTAATGAACAGGCCTGAGCCCCAGAAATTCAAGCCCACAGACACCCCCGTCTCCTCAGTTACGGGCTACCGTGCTCCCGTGCTGAACTGCCCGCTATTCACGTTACAGAATTTTAAAGGGCGGCGGCCCAGTATATCTGCTCTTATAAGCAGGAGACTCACGCTGCACAGGAAGCAGGCCGTGCTGCTGTGACTCCCCTTGTTAGAGATAACAGTCTCTGCGAGTGCACCTCTCCTCAGCTCGATGAAATGATGAATGCCTTCGGTTCGGTGTTGCTAAAAAGGCCGGATTGCTGAGACTTCACCAGAACTCGGCCTTAATTTGTAACAGAAGCAAAGCCTGTTCATTTTGGTGAACCTCTGGGCCGTATATTTAGAACAGCGCAGGCTTTGCATACCTTTGGTCCTCTCTCGCCCTGCCCGCAGGCATGCCAATGTACCGACTGGATATTTCACTGGACCAGATGGGCTAAAGTCTGTGGCAGACATTACATTCCTGTATGTCGATACTGGGCCCAAGGGACACATTCTCCACATTTCAGGTGACTAGAGTTGGGATAATGCCAGTTTAGGGGCAGCACGCGCTCCTGAGCACGGTCACGGTCGGAAACGAGGGCCTCTCCGAGACAACCTCCCTGAATCTGCTACACGTCTCACTTGGTCTGTTTTAAACCATAAAAAACAAGGCAAGTTCAAGGTTTTTTGGGTGCGGATTTATGTGTTTACCAATATGTAACATCAGCTGCTGGAAATCAACATTGTACATTGGCTGTAATTGCACTTAATTACATTCCATTATAATATCCAATTTCGTGCGCATTTCGGTGGAGGGTTTAATCACCAGCATCCTTAAATAATCAGGGGTTACAGTCTGGAGGTGTGCACGGATTGCCACTGTTGTGTCAGCTGCCAGAGGCGGGGGTGCTGCATCTCATCTCTGCGCATTTGCATCGTTTAAAGCCGGCACACAGGTCTCCCGGGTGTCCAGGCCGGGCCTGACATTTAGAGATGCAGGTGTGACATTTACCTGTCCAGATGAAAGGCCGCGATCTCAGCGTTGTGCCTCTCGAAGTCGGAGAAGTAGAAGAAGTCGGGCGGGGTCTCCTGCTCCCGGGTCTGCCTGAGAGGGAAAGGACACAAGACAGCGTGAGCCCCTTTGATGAGCAGCGTCACTGGAAAGCCAAGCAAGACCAGGCGAAGGCAGATTAGCAAAACAAAAACTGTCAGCAGATGAAGGCTCAGAGACCTCAGTCGGGGTGAGGAAGAGCACTGTTTAAATTAGGATTATGCACACTGGGTCCAAACACACACAGCTTATATAAGGAGGCCTGGAAAACAACAGAAATAATGTGAATATCATCGCGACAGCTTGTTATGTAACGGTTTGAGGCAGCAGATGGGCACACTGGGGTATTTGTTTTTAAATTAGGTATAGCGTGCTAAAAAAATTTCATGAAAACTTCGACGATGTTTCATGGAGATTAAATATTATACATAAAGAGGTGCAGAGGACTGACTTCATTAATGGGGGGCAAGAAATATCTGTGCATCCTTTTGCATATTCCACGGTTAAAGCTGATTCTTTCCATGTGATTCATGATTTTCTTTGGGAATTAAGTGTCAGCAGACAGCAGTGGTGAGGAACTGGTCCAACAGTGATCAACCAGCCAAATCTTTTTGCAATATAAATTATTACAAATACAGAAAGGTGCATTAAAGTATCTTCAACACACCAAATAATAAACTTTTGATCCAGTGTCAATTCTCACAACACCATCTGTAGTCCACCTCCTACAATATAAATAATAAGCATGGCCCTGCTGTAAGAAATTAAGTGTTCGTAAAATACTTATAAAATACTTAACAAAACTGCCTTGTGGTCACTGAGGACTTTCAGGAACTTTCATTACTACCAAGCCAAATATGTCCAACCCTTGGCTCGGTGTGGTTTTGTCACCAGACTACCATCCAGCATTATTTTAGCTGTTTATCGCGTTATCTATGGGAGACGGAGGAGCCGAGACGGGCTTGGAATGGAAACAGATCGTAATCTTGGCAGGGCGGTTCCCTTCAACCTATTCTTCAGCTGGCTGTAATCGTCGCCCCGCCGCTGCAGTGGATCTGACATCTGCAGCGATCATTAAAAGCTCAGCGTGGAGGCCAGCGAGCAGCCACTTCATTCAGCAGCTCGCCCCCCCCCCCCAACCCTGAAGGCTGCACATGGCGTTTCCTCCCCCAGCCTCCCTTCAGAGACGGCTATAATTAAAAGTCTTTTTTTTTTTTTGTCTGTATGGGAAGGCCGACTTCGCCATTATCCGGTCATTGATAAAATCTACCGATTTCGGTAAATGGATTTGCAGGGAAATGATCCAAATTCAGCAGTAAATTAACTCACGATAAAAACCACACCGAAGTCTCATACAGCGTGTCTGAGTTGGGTGTCTCACTGGGTGATGTTTTGGACAAGTCGCTGCAAGTCAGTGTGATTTGGTATGCAGCACGTCACAATACATATCTGTAAGATACTAACTGTGACCATAACGGTTCAGAAGCCATGATTCCCAGCTAACATGATATCCTGTCAGGGCTGGAGCATATGGAAGCGAGCACCCTTTTATGTTTGCATTCATACAGTATCTTTGTGGGGACTCCATTCATTTCTAAGGCAAAAACCCGAATCCCAACTATAACAACTTTAGCCCCTATACATAACCATAAGTAACCAAACAAAATAGAAGACTCTTGGCGTTTTTAGTTTTTTGATTGCAGTCACAATTTTTTTTAATTTTTTTTAATAAAATTGAGTTTCCTCTTGTGGTGACTGAAAAAATGTAATACATACAAGGATCACACACACACAAAATAAACATGTAAACAATCACTACTGATTATATTTTTCAGTGATCTATGTGTCCAGCCCAGTAGGGGGCAGTACAAACAGGTCTGGTCCTGAAAACCTATCCAAGACTGAATTGGCAACATTCACCTGAAAAATAATACGCGCGACATGGCCGACAACTAGGGCAATTCTGGAAAGTCCCCCAACTGAAACGGACAACAGCTGCGTTTATATGCAGGTTGGGATGTGGGGGGGTGGCTGTCAGCCTCCGGTGGCAGTGCTCCAAAGGCCATTAGCTCCCTAACCACTTACTCCCGGCAGCAAAAACCCTCACGTCTCTGAGCCCATTATCCTCCCCAAGCCCACGCTCGAACCCGCACTGGAGCTATAGCAGGAAGTGTCCTCCCCATCTCTGCTGGCGAGAGCTCCCCCCACAGCAGCTGTGGCCCCCGGGCCTCGTCTCGCTCATGCTGTGTACTGGGTTTGACTTTTTGACATGTAGAAGGGAGCCGCAAAGACTCGCTGATGAAAAGATGTTAGGCCCTTGAAGATGGCGATTACTCTGATATACACCTGATTTAATGACAATATAGCTGTCGGGACCTCAATATTACTCATCCGGGCTTTGAGGTCGAGGAGGGTCCCGTCACCGACTGTCAGCTGGCTGGAGGTATGATAATAACCCACCAGGAATCTGGCCACTTATTAACACGCAACACGAACGTCATTATAGCTATCGAGTTCAGAATTATATCGTTAGCCTGCAGAGGCTTGACAACCATCGCATGGGTTTGTTTTTCGTCAGTTAGGCTAGTAAAATAATGATCGTTATTAACACACACATATTGTAACTAAATAAAAATACGTCCGTCCATTTTCGATAACCGCTTGTCCTATGCAGGGCCACAGGGGGTTCCGGAGTCCATCCCGAAAGGTATGGGCGCAAGGAAGGGAATAACCTTCCAGTCTAAATGAAAATACCCCAATTTCATTCTGAGTAACAAAGTCAATGGCAGGCAGTTAGCAGAGGGCTTGAAGGTGGCCGTGGAGCAGTGGTTGGATGAGCTCGATACTCGACAGGCACTTCAGGCTCTTGGGGGTCTGACGAGGCAGTAGCGATACCAGTGTGCTCATGATGACTTTCCCAAACGAGGCCCCAACCTTTCTTTAAAAATACAAAGTGCTTAACTGGCTGTTTGCTTGGACACGCAGGCAGAGTAAACACATCCTCTGATTTACTAACTAAAGGGCTTGTTGGTGCTCTTTGTAGGTTACTAAACTAGAGCTATACAAATACACTGAGTGGGTTGCAGACAGACTTGAAGCCACATTTTAATATGACCAGATCTAAAAGGCTTAAAATAGAGAAAGTTGACCTAAAAAGTCCAGTCCTGTTACAGCATTTGTCATAGACATAGGCCAGTCACGGACAAGGTTTTATTTTTTGACAACAATCTTGGATGTGCCTTTTCTGTTAATTCTCCCTACCACAAGGAGGCGCTGTTTAGCCATGGCCAAAAGCAGATTTTACCAGGAAAAAAAAAATAACAAAACAGGGTAGTTTTCAAGATTAGCACAGCGGCCGCAGCTCTAACAGTAACGCAGCCCTAGAATTCAGTCTCTAAGTGAGCATAAAACATGAAACGGCACATGGGCTGGCCTCATTTTCACACTCCGTCTTTTCACAGAGCACTGCTTTGTCCTAGGGCTTTCATCACAAAAGGCTGCTTGGCGCTGCTTTTTTGTTTTCTTACGAGCAAGCAGACGTGTACCGGGAATCGAGCTGTTGCGGGTCATTTTAAGATCCTCTTTAACAATGGAGGAGCTCGCCGTCTCAGAAAGACAGAAAAGAAAAGGCAGGCAGGGACAACACAGGGTGTGACATGCTAGATCACCTAGTGTCCCCAGCAGCCAGTGCAGATGACAATTATTTAGCAGTCGGTCTTAAAGACGGAGCCACTGCTGCTGCTTGGCAAAAAAAAAAAAACGGGGCTGGAAATAGTTGGCGGACTTTGACTCCAACTCTGTGCCGGAGTTCTTGTTTATGTGAGGATGATGCTTAATGGTGCAACAAAAATACCATTGCAGGATTCCACTGTTTCTCTGCTTGCAGTTGCTGCGAGACATAGACACACACACACACACACACACACATATGCATATCTTTGTGGGGACCGTCCATTCATTTCTACGGGAAGGACCCTAATCCCAGCTATGACAACGCTAACCGCTAACCAGCCGTAACCTTAAACATAAGTAACCAAAATAATACACGACTTTTGGCATTTTAGCTTTTTGATTGCAGTCACAGATTTTTTTATAAATTTAGTTCCCCCTTGTCAAACTTTTGGTCCCCACAATGTAATGTATACGTAACCCACACACACATATGCAGGCACACACACACACACACACGCACGCACACACCCATAAGCCTGAAGGGATGAGCCACCATTCTGTCAGTGTTTCAAAACACATAAATGAAACATTTGAATCACTCCCATGAAAGCTTCTAGAGTTCTCCCTCCCTGCCCCCCTCCACACACACACACACACACACACACACACACACACGCACACAGTATGCCCAGGTGCTAGTACACCTGCAAAGCTGTTCTGTTTCTATAATATCCACATGACCCCCCTCCCCCACAGTATTGGGAGGAGCTCCTAGACTAGCTGTCAGCTCCAGAAAATGAAGGGAGACGCCAAAGGTACTGCTAGCTCACAGACACAAGGGGGAGCTCTAGCCACTGGCTACACTTTTTTTTTCTTCTAGAGACAAAACACATTCCTCATCTGTTCCCTGCTAGGCGGGCTTTTTTCAAAAGATACTTGCTTATCAACATCTTCCCAAAATCATAACATTTGTGAAGTGGAACAGGGAAAAAAAAATAAGATAAACCATGCAGTCAATGCTTAGAGGCAGCTGTAGCTACACAGAGCTGCTGGTCTAGAACGTCGATACCTCTCCAGGAATAATTATCTGTTATTCACAGGCCGATGGCTCTTCAAGATGAATTTATCGATCCTTATAAGTTTCTCAAATGGAATTAGGTTTAAATTTAAAGAACAAGTATTAGCTAAAAAAAAAAAAATCCACGTGAAGCATTCTCCTCCACACCCAAAATTTTCAACACAGAGCTCAACAGAGCTTGCAGGAACTTGAAATGAAATGGAACGACTTGATTCATGTGATGACAGCCAGGCAGTTTTCAGTCCTGTAAAACCACCAATGAGGAGATCTTCTGCATATCCCCAGAACATGCTGGCAACATTTA